GCGATACTTATTCAAAATATACATAATATGTGAAGTGATTCCTGTATATAGCCTTAATAGTCTCACAGCTATGCACAGGCCTCCTCCCACAATGAGAGGCGTTACAAGTCATACAATTAAACTACCACGGCTAAAGTGATTTAGATCCAGATAATATTATTCCAATGAACACTTAAGAGTTGATACTAGCTCAACTCGAATTAAAATTTTCCCGTACTGAGTCGGTTCTATTGCGCGGGTCGAGCGGTATACGTGTAGTAAATGTATACCGTATAGTAAGTATATTTAGTTTAGTTGATATAAAAAAAAATCATTGGTATATGTATAAAGTAGGTACCTATCGAATATAGCGATTTTCTTGTAAAATTTTAGGAATCGTATTTTCACACCGTATACTAATTTCACAGTGTATGTCCTCAATTTTACTATATATTTTTTCCAATGTGTTTCATTTAGCACTTACACTGTTATGCGGGATCAATCCAAGCCATTTGAGGTTGTATAGACTCTTATTAAGCGCCCAGTGTACATTTTGATGAGAATATAGCATTCAAATTTGACGCTATTTATTCTGGAATCTAGAAACAGCAGTTGTTTCCTAATGAGGGTTCTTAAAGTCGAATACCAATCGTGTATGCCTAATTAATATATAGGTATTGTTGGAACTGGGCATATTTGCTTAATATTTATTTATTTATTCTCCACAGATATACAATTTACACTCATTCTAAACACCTTGCCAACCTAGCCATCAGGTTGTTGGCAAGACAACGCTCTTTTCAATTACCTATATGTATTTATATCTATTCTAGTTAATTCTTCGTTAATTAAGTTACATTAAATACTAGCTTGTTTTCTAAAGTAAAACTGTCTTTGCTAAATAATATTACCTCTAATCATAATATTTCACTATAACATTTTATCACTTAGCAATAATTTTTTTTATTTCTTTTTCAACACTTTTATTACTAACCTTCGTACTTTTCCTGAGCCAATCTATTTCACTGTATATTTTTGGTATTTTACTGCATTTACCTACATTGCGCATTTAGCAGTTTTCTCGTTGTAGTTTGCTGGGTCTTAAGAAATCAATAGGTTATTACGTTTTAATTTAGAATGTTTTAAATTGTCTAACATTTTATTGCTTTAATTAACTCACACATTTATTATTATGTATAGATATTAATGGGTTAAAGTCAATGATGTGATATGTTGCCTCTCTTTAGCTAAACGATAATACCGCGAGCAAAGGTAAGTTAGCTATATAAACAACATTTGCTTTATGTCAGATTAGATAATAATATTATGTAAACTGTGACACCGATTTATTATTTTGTAATAAATATATTCACTCACACGCGATGTTTGTATACAGCATGTGGATTTTACAAATAACATATTTTATTTACAAATACGGATTTATACAAATACATTTGAACTACCAGGGAGGCATAGAAAATGTATAAAGAAATATGGCATATTTATACAAAAGTCCCTCGATTTACGTACGGATGGGGACCACAACATACATATTTCCAATTCATATGTTACCCGCCAAAAATCGCCGTCAAGACTCGAAAGGGACTGATTCCTAGAAAGTAAAAGTGAGTGACCGCGACTTAAGTAGGTAAGGTATCTACCTTACCTACTTAAGGCACGGTAAGGTAAGTAGATATGTGAAAATATTTATATATAAAATTTTTATGTTATTGTAGTCAGACCGTTCACGTCCATGGGATCTTTTATGGACATTTGCGATGCAAGGGAAGTATTTTTAATGCAGCAAATGCATTGCCGACCGTGAGACAAGATCCCAGAGTTTTATTACTAAACAGTTCCTTACCTATTTTTACCGCCAAGCAGTAATGTGAGCACTACTGCGTTCCGGTTTGTAAGGGTAAAGGTATTGGTGAAATTACAGGCACATGGGACTTGTCTAGTGACGGGCGTAGTGGCAGTACCCCTAAGATCTTTGCCACGCAGGTCTTTGCGATTTTAAGTTCTAAGCGGCACTGCAAATGTTATGGATAGACGTGTCGCTTACCACCAGGCGCACGACTTGTTCGTCCTGTCACTTGGTGCTATAAAAAAAGAAATTAATTGTTCAATGTAGATCATTGAATTTTGTCAGTGCGTTGTTTATATTTCTCTAAAGAGATTAGTAGCAGTAGAGCTCCTTGTGAAAGAGTTCGTCCAGGGAAGAACTGCCACCTTATCTATTTCTGCCGTCAAGCAGTAATGTTAGCATTATTGTGTTCCGGTTTTGAAGGGTAAGGGTACTGGTGAAATTCTTAGAGGATGGAAAAAAAATTAAATTACAGGCATATGAGACTTGTCAACTTATGTCTCATGGTGACGGATCTTTTTTTTTACTTTTTAAGGCTTTGGCTAAGCTATCAGCCTAAACATGTCGTCATTTAATATTATAAAAAAAAGAAGAAGCATTAGGCGGTAACAAAATTTTTTTTACATATAAAGTATTTGGAAAGCGCACTGTAAAACCCGTAGTTGGTTTTTGAGATCCATTTAGCAATACGGAAAGGCCGTATATACTGATAATTAATTTAAAGACAAACGACATTACTGTCGGATTAATCCGTAACTTAAACGTTGAGTGACGTTTATTAATAACCGTGTTTTTTGGCAATACTCAAATTACGCGTAATCGTTGATTACACTCAAGTGACACTTATTTAATACAGACAATTTGACTTGGTAAGACTTTAATATCGAATCAAGCTCTTTTATACGGATTTAATAAAACAATTTTAATAAGTCTCTTGTGCCAATCTCAGCCAATCAATGCCAGTCAACATCACTCAATGCCAGCGTACTTTATTTCCATTTTTGCCCGAATCCCTTCATCAATATATATAGGTATCTCCAATTTTAGAAACCGATTCTATATGGTAAGCTATACGAGCGGCGTGTTTTGTGGATACACATAATGCAACGTAAAAATACATTGATTTATTCGTTTGTTCAAACTCAAGACAGATACATAACACGAGGTAGAACTTATTATTCGTCTCTGATCTAGGCATATTTCCCTTGGGGGCTATAACACAATAGCCCTGTTACCTATTACAATGCACACGCTACACGCGGGTACAGAAAACCGTTTGAAAGGTGGAAAGAAAACCTTGGAATATGTAGGTAAACTAAGGATTAACGACTTTCTTTTTCGCAAGAACTATGTATATAATGTAAGTCGTTCAAAAAATAGTACGACTCTACTCTTGCTAAATTCTAAAAAATAACGAATAGTGATTCGCAAATTTCTATAAAATTTCGTATTTTTTACGTTTATGTTGTGAATTTATCTCAGGCGTGTATTTGAGCTCTGTAGCTCCGCTAATATTCCGCCTTAGCTCATACACACACAAATAGAAAAAAACGATCTATGGAGTACAGACTTTTTTTCTATTATGTTGCATGTGAAAGTAATTTTGACTTTAATCCTATTCTTTATTATTAGTGCTTTCTGAGCGAAATGGTGGGTTTTTATTATAGGTACTTACAGTTTTGAACAAAATGACCGAGCAGTGAATACGTATTTAATTTCCTTTTTTTTGGAACAATACATAAATAACGATTTCCCACGAAAATTGTCAGAAAATGGAATGATTAACAAGAATTAAAATGTAAAATCCGGCAGTATGGCTAATTAGAGCTTATTAAGCCTGTCTCGAAGGACGAAAAATTTTAATAATATTTATAGCTTTTACATTGATAAAATATTTTTTTTTTATTTCCTAATTATTTGTTATCTTTTAAGGCCAATGCTCAATAAACAAATTATTTATTTAATTACAATATAAAACTGTCAACACGCTGAAAAATATCTATAAAATAACAATTTATTAACATTTATACTAACACTACAGGTACATCGAGAGATCACCGCTTTTTTAATATTGTTTATTTTGTGACTACCCAATGGATCATTTTCATAGTATCATATCGATTATAATCTTAAAACACAGTCACAGCTTCAATCACTGGCACGCGCTCAATACACGTAACCAATTAAGTAATTACATAGGTGCACTGTACTACTTTATTGGTTGCTGTACACAATTAATAACATTCACTGTAATATTCTAGAAACTTTAAACGCTATATTAAATTAGTATAAGGTTGTGACACGAACAAGCAAAAAGTTTTGTATGAAAAAAGTTCGTGACAAATCACCGCAATAAGTTTATATACTTTATCATTTACACTTCTGTTTTTCTTGTTTTATTTGGTTCATCAAACATTATAGAGTAATAATTTACTATGCTTTGACTACAATTCATGTTACGATTACCTACCTATAATATACCTGTATTAATAGAACATTACAAAAAAGTACTTTTATATTTATTTTTATTGACAAACTAAAATGTGATCTCCCTCGCTGTAGAACTCAGTGAAGCTACGGGAAAAGCTACGAGAAAATACCACAGCCTAGCAAATACGAATAATTTCATCCAGTATCAACACAGAGGCCGTTGACTTGAAAAGTACAATATCGGTTGTCCCCTTCGCACATGTTTCCACACTCTTCCGTAAATCGAAATCAAAGCTCGTCGGGATTGGAAGGCAGTGAAGTTTGCACAGTTGCCGCATATGAGTGAAGTTACGGCGAGAAAGAGCGCGTTCCGATGATTTGCTAACAGTGCAACCTTCAGTTTTTGTTGTTTTTGAGATTCAATAGTTAAAATCGATTTTGTTTTTAATTCTCCATAAATTTGGCAGATAACTGCATAAAAATTGCAAATTGTAAAATATTCGACTGTTTAACTTTGTAATTTTTTGATGAAAATCCCAGTTCTGGCACAAATAATCGCTTGATATCTGATCTGTATTCTGAACGTGAGGTGACAAAATTTTTAGTGTGCCGTAGGTGCAGAACACACGTGCATATGGCTGACGCTCAGTTTGTGTTTATGTCAATAAGAAACTGATTTTTATCATTTGCGCGGGTGTGGAATTCATAATTTTTAAATGGTGATATGCTAGTGAAACTGTGGATTGTGTAGTTTTCCTGTGACAATGGATTTTGCCCTTGGACTTGTGCACACTTTCGTATCATCAGTGTATTTATAAGGGTATGTATTTTATGCATTTCTCTCCATTATTTTAAGGTTTTGTCAGGTACTAGGGATTGTAGAAACCCTAGAATTTTGGTAAAGACTTTATATTATTCTAGTTAGTGATAAAAGTTTATAAATTCAGTGTTAGGTTTGAGTGAAATGTCAGGTGGTTATCACCAGATGATAGCTTTTTACTATTAATAGTCGGGATTTCGGAACGTATTAGTAAATATGGATAAGATAAAAATATGGGTCTCTTACATCAAATATTTAGTTAAAGACTCAATTTATAGTGTTAAATTTGTTTCAGTTTAACTGCTGTGGATAGACTTCGACTAATTTTTTACGAACGAAGTTATTGTATTTTCAAAATAATTTAAACGCTTCTTGATGACATAGAAATATAAAAATATCGTCCGTTTAGGCGCTTAAATACAGCTTTTTAGACGTTGACCACTTCCCAAACCACTAACTACGAGGTTTTAACATAAAAAAAATTGTTTTCACAATCTACAAAAACGTAATAAAAGTTGGTGCAAATAAACAACTTATTAATATTTACAAAGAATCTCAAGTGTTTATAAACCGGACACATGTGCAAGGTCTCAGGCAACTGAGACATGATTCATATGCCATATGTGCTTTAAGAAATTCCTGCTCCAACATTCACTTTGATTCCTATTTCAAAAATAGAATATTGGAATGAAGGTGGTTTTTAAATTTGTAAATTCTGGTGTTTTACTATTTTTCTAATTATTATTTTAGTTAATATTATTGTCTATATTTCGCAGGTTAAGTTTTAAACTTGTCTTGAATTTGAAAGCTTGTGTTTTGCACATTGAAATTGTACAGTTGAGAGAATTTTTTCAATTCATCTGCCATGACTCCCTTGTTGTTTAAAGTTTGTTGTTAGGTGAAATAATTTAATAAAGAATTAAAAGTAAACAATAAAAGTCAAATAAAAATTTAATACAAAGAAAACAATGCTTTAAACAAAATTATTTGTATTGCATATTAAGAGAACCAGTATCTAAACAATTATAAAATCTTAAGATGAGCTAAAGTTATGATGTTTGTTATTGTAGTATCCTGGCAAGTCTGAAATAATATTCCCACACTTCAGTTTCGTAACATCGTACATTAATGTTACATTGAAACACTGTACACATTTTATATGAAAAACAAAAAGCCAAAAGTATCTTTACTACAATAAAATATGGAAAACAAGTGTTCAGTACTAAAGTTAATGTTTGTTATCAAAATTTTGATTACAGAGAATGAAAATATCCACTAGAAAAATCTTTAGAAGTATTCATTTATGGCTTAAAGTACCTTTTAACTGATCTACAACAAAGCAACATCATTACATAGTAACTTAAGCTTAGAACATGGTAATAACAAGCTGTACTGGCCTCCTCCTCATAACTAACACATTTGCATTTAAGTAACTTTCATGATATTGGCACATAGTTTTTTTTTCTTTGAGAATGTCATTTATACAGACAGCTTCTGCATTCTTGGATGACAAAAATATGTGGTAGTGACCCGCTTAGCTCTTACAGGTAGTCTCAATCTAAGATGTTTAAATTAAATATTGTAATAATAAATGTATTCAAATGTATACTTACGAAGAGCAACCCATAGAGTGTCTTGCTCTTTTTTCTCAGGGGAATCTGCCATATAAATGAGCAGTAGAGTTTAAGCAGTATGACGATTGCAAGCGTAATTTGCTTGCCTATGAAATGAAGATTATTTGATTTTCACCATTATACTGGTTTGCAAAATTGCTGATTTTACTTAACAATAAAGTTGAGACTAAATAATATATAAAAAAAAACCGCTTCTAGGGGGTTATAAATCTCGTTTCTCTGATTTCAGATATGTTAATAACTAAATTTCGCTAGCCATGTAATGTTGATACAAATATTATGTAGTGCGTTTACATAGAATAGAGAGAGACGGAGATCTATATTACCCAATTTTTATGGATCCATCCAGAAGCAGTCCAGTTGTGAAAACAAACTTGTTTATGTTATTCTTATAATGGGTGTTATCAGAAAGAGACCATGTTTAACTTACCATCAATTTATTGTATACAAACCCTCAAAAAAAGTAATTTTATTTGGTGCACATCAGCAGTCAATCTAAATGTAACTTGTTTTATTTGTGTTGCCAAAGTCATCAAAGAAAATTACTACAAACTAAGGTGAGTTTACATGATTAAAATACATATAAAATTAAAAAGTCAAGCAATTTTTTTTACTCTCATCTAAAGAAATAGGATCTATAGTGACATTTAAACCACATTAAATAATACTAAAATAATATAGTTTACAAAATTTGCTTCACCTACAGAAGATTGTTAGTGATTAAACAAAATAGGTACCTGGTAATCAAACATACCATCCGTATCCACATTTCAATTTCCAGATTGTAGACAAACATGATCCTGTCACTAGTAAAAACTACCTTCCAACAAAGTATGTATATTATTATCATTATATCATATCGTATGTATATTATTATCATTTATATTTTATTCACATTTAAATTTAAATTTTGTTGTACATTAATTAGTCCCGCAGACTTCATTTTTGCACCACGGCTAGGGTTGGCTGGAAGAGATCTCTTATAGAGATAAGCTCACCTTTGTATATGTCCATTGTAACGTGTGTTTCATGTGTCTTTTCTTTGTACAATAAAGAATATAATAAAGTATCAAGGTGATTAACAACAGGAAATAAATCATGTATCACTATACTCAATCTCTCTAAGTCTCCTTTAAAATATCCAATTAATTAACCATCTAAGCAGTTGTTTACTTCGTAATCTTATCATATTTTATAACACTGTAAACCTAGTGCACTGCACTTTACAATGTTGCTAGGCAATAATTTATTATCCAAGATAGAGGGGCATCATTAGTTCTGAATAAAGATCTCTTGTTTATTGAACATTTTATACCATTATGTTTAAGAAGAAGAATAAATTTTACTTTTCATAGAAGAATTGATGAAATTACAGCTAATTCGTAATTTGTCGTAAGAAAATGACACAAATAAAGAGCTTTGCATAATAAATACATAATAAATAAAACTTTACTTTTAAGTATTATCTTTTCAGAAAACTTTCAGTTATCTAGTGCATTTTTTTATAACACCAACTGACAGGACGCACAAGTCGTGGGCTTGGTAGTAAGCGACACGCCTGTCCATAACAGTTGCAGTGCCAGTCAGAGCTTTAAAACGCAAAGATCGGAGGGGCACTGCCATTGCGCCCGTCACCCTGAGTTGACAAGTCTCGTGTACCTGTAATTTCATCAGCATCTTACAAAACCGGAACGCAGTAGTGCTCACGTTACTGCTTTGCGACAGAAATAGGTAAGGTGGCAGTACTTCCCGGACGAACTCTTTCACTAGGAGTTCTACTTCTACTGAAATCAGTGTTATCATTCTGCCCTCCTTGTCATAACTAACGCTTTTGCATTTTTGCAACTTTCAAGATATTGGATAAAGGTTTTTTCTTTGAAAAATGTCATTTTTACTGATTTTGCTCTAACGATAAAACTGAAAATAAATAAGATATCAAAAAACCGCTTATAGGAGGTTGAAGATCCAGTTTTGCTGAATCCAAATATGTTAATAACTCAATGATCTAAAAATGCCAATTACGTTAGTTATGATAAGGAGGGCAACATTATTTCGAAAATTTCTACCTCTTATACGACCACCATGTTATTGTCGGCCGAATTTGAATACCTCCTTTTTCAATCACGCAATTAAAGCTTAAAATATAATTTCTAGACCCCTTTTTATTTAATAACATAAAGTTGTAATCATAGATTGTCTTATAATTATTTTTAGTAATTCTATTTTTTGTGACTTCTCTAAAGCTCGCATTATGGTAGTTACGAGGTTCATGAATTTAATTGACGATATGCTATAGCTTAAGACGTAGATATTAATAAATTAATACTGTACTTAAAAAGTTCACTTCACAAATTACAGGCACATGGGTCTTGTCGACTTATGTCTCAGGGTGACGGGCGCAGTGGCAGTGATCTCAGATCTTTGCGATTTAAAGCTCTGCAAGTGTTATGGACAGGCGTGTAGCTTACCATCATGCACACGACTTGTTCGCCCTCACTTGATATTAAAAAATAAAAAAACAGAATGAAAATGTAATGATGAAACTAGTGTTTCAGTGAAAAGTTATAGCCGTTTTCGAAAACGTACTATGCAGTTGACAACTCTCTTCCTTGACCTAAACCATCGCTAGAGGTGATCCGCGCCCATCAGTCGGATGAAAATTGGTTGATAAAGTACCTATCTATATAGTGCGCTTGTAGCTTACAATATTTGTAGGTTATATCCCTGATAGTAGGTCATCGATATCATTAATATTTAATTGAGTTTTCCTGCTTGCCTTACTTACATTCCTGTTTGTTTGCAATTGCGAGGTTAAAATTGATGTCTTAACCAAAATTAAGGATGTCGTCATAAATACGAAAAAGTCCAGGGCCCCAAGTCAAATTAACAAATTTTTTATCATCTTAGTTGTGTATCGGTAGAGTGTTATAACCTAACTTCCGGTTAAAAAAACCGACCTCAAAAGTCATACATCCCCTAGTTTGCCACGCTTAGAGGTGGAATATTTTCTTGAAATTTGAATGGGACCACATCTGAGGTATCTTCTTTCCAACAAAAAAGAATCATCAAAATTGGTTCACAAATGGCGGAGTTATCGCGTAACATATTATTGTATTGTCATTGCAACTTTTTGGTATTCTGCTTTTCAATGGCGGATCCATGGAGTAGTGTACTACTTAACATTATATGCATATATTTCATTTGAAGACTAAATTACCAACCAAACTAGATAAAAGAAGGATTGCGAAAGCCGACCCAAAATCAACGAAGTGCCGTTCATGGACTTTGCTAAGTAAGTTCTTTATTATTTTTAGGAACAAACTGAAAACTTGATGTTTTCTGCTTCTACGAACAAACATCTGAAGC